ACTTTAAACATCCATATTAATAAATCATCGCTTTGTTTATACCTCTCCTCATTTGATGTCACCCCCACTGAGGGTTCCCCCTCCGCCCCCCCCCGGTTGCAACCGTCCCTAGTGACGCCACTGTATCCCTAATGTGGGACAATATCCCTAATACTAACTCACCCCTTTGTCTCTTCCTCTCCTCCCGCGTGACCAGGACCTGCTGCTGCTGCTCCTCTTCGTCTTCGTCGGCATGCTCGTCTTCTCGTCGCTCATCTTCTTCGCCGAGCACAGCGCCCAGCCCAAGTTCTCCAGCATCCCCAAGTGCTTCTGGTGGGCGGTGATCACGATGACCACCGTCGGCTACGGCGACATGGCCCCGGAGAGCCACTGGGGCTACCTCATCGGCACGGCCACCAGCATCTGCGGCGTGCTCATGATCGGCTTCACCGTGCCCGTCCTGGTCAACAACTTCATCATGTACTACAACCACACCACGTCGACCATCCACCGCGAGGAGGAGCGCGCCCGGGTGGCCCACGTGAAGAAACACGGCAAGGACTACAGCGGCGACCAGCTGCGGGGCTGCGGGCTCGGGGAAAAGTTGATGGGCCTGGGGACGCTGAGGTCGCTCAAGGCGGCGTTCGAGTGCAAGGACACCAACGACAACGTCAAGCCGGCTGAGGTGTCGGCCGTCAGCAAGGAGAGCGGGACCCCTCTCATCACGTCACCGGAAATTCTTGTCAGCGTGCGATCCGAGCCGTGCGGTGATAAGGATTATTTGTGAACGGCGAATAAAACACGTTTAAAAAAAATATTACAAATCCCCTCTTTCCTTCCCTTGAAAATCAATGATTTTTTAAACAATTCATTTGTTAAGGACCAATATATTCTTTACAACCTTATGTTTAATTACTTTAAAGAAACAACTTTTTTTTTGTTGTTTTTGTTTTTCTCCCCCAATGTTTATGTATTGAAAGATATCTTAAGCCAAGACGGTGAAATGTAATTTTTATACACCGTAATATTTTTTGAAGACTTTTCTTCTGACGGCACTGAATCAATTACTTTCGTTTAAGATGTGTACATTTTATGAATGTTTTTTGTTTAACCGTTTTTTTTTTGGTTGTTTTTTTAAAGTTATCTTACAATGAAATAAGAAATTTAACATAAAAGACCGTGCACGTGTTAAATAACGCGAAGGTGGCAGTGGTGGTTTACCATTGTGTTATACTGTCACTGTCACATGGGGTGGGGGTGATGGAGAGCAATGTTATATAACAATTAAGTTTATTCAATTTTTTTAAAAATTGTTAATTTTAATTTTGCAAAGTTTTTGCTTTTTAAGTCGACGACTTTAGCCTACATCAGGCCTGCACAAGATTCGGCCCGCGGGCCTCATGTGGCCCGCCAGCTCCCACTTTGTGGCCCGCGAAGTAACGAAATATTCTTTATTTTTATTATTTTCTTATTAGCTTTCCCCTGTCCTATTTCCTTTAGGCCCGCACAAGTCCTTTCCTATTTTATTTTGGCCCGCACAAGTTTTTCATAAAGTATTACGGCCTGCCTTACATTTTGAGTTGTGCAGGCCCAGATGATTAAAAACTAATTTTTTTATTTTTTTTTTTTTAAATATTTTTTTTTGCACTTACAATAATTAGTACATTTTTTAAAATGTCTGGCTTTTGCTTGAAATTTGCTTGTTTCTGATTGTTTTTGGACTTTAATTTGTGGGTGTGGGGGAAGGGGGTTTTCTATAAATATCATATAGCTTTCAATCAGGGGGTAGTCAAAGGAAATTTTCCATGACATTAGCAGGAGTAGGGATGGGTTTAAAAAATGTCATATATTGCGTTATATAACATGTACATGGTGCCCAATATATCGCTAGGCAGAGTAAAATATGTTGGAGGTGAATCCGTCTCTTCACGACTGATGATTCTTAGTTTTTAGCTTGATTCATTTTCATTTTGTCAATTATAATGTATAGTAAGAGATTCTATGTTTATTAGCCAGACTATATAACAGTTACTTTTTTTTAAAATAAGCCTATATGTTATAAGCCTAATCAGAGTTGGTTTGTCTGTTGTTTTTCCTTCCACTAATATAAAAAGTGCCTCTTGCATTTTAGAGAAATGCCACAGATATTATATTAACTTGCATTTAATTTAATATATCTATTTTATTTTTTTTAAATACCGTTACAATTTTTATGTAACCGTAAAATTGTTTCTGAGCAGTCTATCTTTTTCGTCTCTTTTTCGGTTAGAATTAGAAATTTTTGAAAATCTATTCATTATACATGAATAAATCTGTTTTTTTTTTTTTTTTTTTTTTTTTTTAAGGGAAGTTTGTTTTACTTTTTTCCAAATTAATATTTCAAGGGCCTAGAAAATTTTTTTTTTTTTTTTTTTTTTTTTGTTTTTAAAGGGAAGTCTGATTTACTATTTTCCAAATCAATATCTCAAGGGCCTAGAAAATTTTCTTTCGGGCAAGGATATATGATATTATAGCTAAAAACCTGATAAGTAGATTTTGAGACTTCACAAAAGCAAGTAGCAAGAAGAACAATATACCTTCCAATTTTAACCCGGTAACCATAAACAATAATACTTAACCCAAAAATAGGTCTTCAAAAAGACACTGGGAAAGTTAATTTGGTACTGAACATTTCCAATGTACAGAAAATACAGTATTACAGTAACAGTTAAGTTCTTATTAATTAAAACTAAAGAATTTTAAACTTTATGATATTTCCAGGGCTTGTGTAACTTCAGACACCGACATTGAATTTATACATTGAAATTATACTGAACTATAATAATTTTACATTTTATTATATGACGCAACATTGCTCCATCACCTCGATATATCATTGTGCCAGCCATTACTTCACAGAAAACGAATGTTCTGTTTATTATTTGAGAGGTGGCTTTCGCCCAGTAAACCCTGCTTCTGCAGAGGGCCTCAGATGTTTAAGGGGCCCAATGTGTGATGTGGAGGAAAAAAAAGAAAGAAAGGGTTTGAAATTGTATTAAATGAATAACCTATAAATTATAAAGTGGCAGGGGGGCCTCTAAGAGTCACACAACGGTTCCCTTTATAGGTTTAGCCTACGTCAGTGCTTCGAGCGCTATGAATTTAACCTTGTTGCGTAAGAGACAGATCTGTTTTAAACCCTTTACAGTAGCTTTGCCTTTGTTCGTGTGTCTGTGTGACAAAATCTTCAGATGGCTAATCTACCCACTTTCCGGTCATCCTATCGAGCTGAAACCTGGCACAGACTCATTGCAGATGACAAAGCATTCTATCAAATTTTCAGCCCTACCCCCAAAAATCAGTTTTTCCTGTTTTTCAAGCGGAAGATGAAAGAAATATGATGCAATGATTTCTTAAGAACTTGAGCCATCATTAAGTCACACAAAAATACATATAAAGGATTTATATGAAAAACCTTGTTTTTAGGGGTACATTTTGTAATAACCTTTTTCAAAATATTAAATGTCCGCGGACCGAGGGAGAGTGTTTTGCCTTAACAAACCAGCCAATTGTTAATGCTGGATATATTCAGTCTGCCTTGCTGCTGTGGGGAGAAATCGCTGGGTTCCATCTCTCTTATGCAAGATTTCATGAAAACATGTACATTTCTTTTTATGCAAATCCCGAACTATAAGTTAAACGCCTTTGCTGCTACATCTGCCATAGTCGATGCTAAACTGAAACAATCAATTTTCTTGCTTCAGTGTATTCATTTAGATCTATGCAATTTTTTATACAACTGAATGACATCTTTACCATGGACATATTCAGGAAGGTTCTTTATTTAGAATTATACAAATGAATTGTTAAGGTATAGATCTTATCGGTAACTGTTTTTTTTCTTTTTAATCCTTTTCAATTTGAATACTTCATTTTTTTATTTTATTTTTTTAAAATGAATCGTCTTTTGGGATTCATCTTTCACAATGCTTCATGGTCACTACTTAATGGTGTGTATCACTACTTAATGGTGTGTATCAAAAGGCAACTGCATGCTTTGGCATTGGGTTAATCCGTCACTGGATACTGACATTTGAATCATGACTTAGAAGAAACATTTCTCCCCGTAAGATTGTGCCTCATTAAGACTTACCTTGTGATGCAATTCTGATTTATGCCTAGTCAAGTGAGCTACCAGAAGTAATACTTCCACTTTTTTAAAACTCTTGTCATGCTTAATGGATACCGGTACAAGCACAAGCCTTTTAATTTTCACTGGTGAATTGATTTGGATTGAACTTTGAAGTCCTTAGTCAAGCCTTTTAATTTTTCTTATACCGTAAAACATTCCGTGACAATTAAGAAAATTCCTTCAACTATCATTCCTGCAAAATTAAATAAAATTATTTTGAAAATTTATGTATATATATATATATAGATATGAATATTATATATTAAGTTCAACGCATGCTGCAAGAACCAGTCAAGAATATAACATAACTAAAAAATCTTGTTCATTTGAAATAAAGCATTTTTTTGATAATGTTCAGCCTTGTTATTTATTATAAATATTATGGTGTGTTTTTAGCCGATGGAGAGTAATGAGATTTGTAAAAAAAAAAATTTTTATGTGTGTGTTTCAGAAATATTTACATCTTGTTTCATTAAGTCATCAATATGTTGTCAAAAAAATGTGTGAACGCGAAATCTGGGCAAGGCGTACATGGAGCCTGCCCCTCAGTCATGTCATGGGTCCTGCCCCTCAGTCATGTCATGGGTCCTGCCCCTCAGTCATATCATGGGTCCTGCCCCTCAGTCATGTCATGGGTCCTGCCCCTCAGTCATGTCATGGGTCCCTAGGGGAATATTATTTGAAAGAAAACTCCTGACCATTTCCTTTCATAAAATAAAATCCTTTCATTATGTAACTTAAGCCAGAGTCAGCAAAAAAAAAAATTGTGGCTAACCACCGACATCATTCTCCACAATATGTGTCATTGAACTTTGTTGAAATTAGTACACAGACAAAAAACACTGATGACTATAGCAGAGAACATAAATAGAACACTTTAATAATTCAACACTAGTCTTCTTTTTCCACACCACAAAATAATCCTTACAGTTACACAAATCTCTGATTACACTCTCATAATTTCATAAACCAACACATTTGTCAACTTCATTCAGAGGATAACACAAACTAGCATTCATTCAGATAATCAGACGCATCATAACAGGGCCAGTTTACACGGAGACCCCCTCACTGTTTCTATGATGTGATCTTTTAAGAACGCCACCAGATCTTGACGAACCTCAGGGATGTCAGCCATTCTCTTAAGCTTGGTGTCCCGCCAGTTCCAGTCGAGGACAATGGCCACTAAGCTCTCAAGCTGCAGCGCCCCTAACACAGAGTAGAAAAATAAAACAGTTTATTTTTTAATTTACAAAAATTCACAGCCATCAAATCTGGGTTGATACAAATGAAATTTAAACTGAGACTGATACCTTTTTAAAAATAAATTATTTCAACAAGATATCATTAATTTAAAAAATGTATAAATACTGTACTTTTTAAAAATCATTCCATTCATAATTGTTTTGTTTTTTTAACAACTGACCTTGCTTTACAAGCAATAACAATCGACCTGGAGTTCCAATGCCTACTTGGCAATTAGTCTTTGCAAGATATTTTGTCTGCTCTTCCACCTGTAAAAATGAAAAAGAGAGAGTCATCCACATGAAGAACTAAAAAAAATAAAACCTAAGTACATTTGAATTTGTCACAACTATAAAAATAAGAGGGTTTTATTGATGCTCCCAAATACAAAAAGCTCAGCTTTGGAGGAATATTCCAAGTAACTAATAGGTAGGAAAGCTTACTTTTCCAAGCATTTTAAATGATTTTAACTCATTCCTTCCGGCAGTGCTACTTCTGTAATTAATTTATTTTCCTGAGAAAAGGGAAGCAACTCAGTTTTGAAATTGATTTACATTTTTTAAAACTTTTTTTAAGCTGCTAAATATTAATAAATGTTAATGAATTAAGGACAAATGCATCAAAAAATGAATAAGGTTTAATAAAAATATAACATTAGCGGCGAAAAAATAATGAACAATGGCCAAAAAATATATTTTTGGCATCTCGGACGAACACATGCTAGATATAGACGCGCCATACTAAAGCACTTTAGTTTTTAAAGTGAGATAAGATAAAAAACTTCCGGTTTTTAAATTAAAATCACGCATAATCACGCATAATTACGCCATAGCTGGAAATCTCAAGGGAAGCGAGATTTCATTGCTATTTTAAACTATTTTAAACTAAAAATGAGAGAGGTGTGTGGCTATACGCGAAAACCCCAAAAGGACGCATTTAGTCGCAACCGCCAGGAATGAGTTAAGGAGAAGAAAAAAATGCTAAAAAAAAATAAATCTGTCCTTCCATTTTAATAAAATAATGTTTATAATTCTGATCCTTTTGGGACGCTTGTTATGTAAGTGTTGAAAATCAAAACAATTTTCATCCAGAGATGAGATATATTGCTTATTAAAATAATGGCCATTAAGTAAAATTACCTTCATGTGCTTGGCAAACAACTTGGCCACTTTGCATCTACTGTCTAAGAAACCTTTTATTTGCCTAGATCGTAAAAAAAGAGTAAGTGCTTTTTAGGATTAAAATACATAAATCTATTACATTTATAAATATTATATAATGTATATATTTTTTTTAAATATACGTATTGTCACACACAATGGTAAAAAAAAAAATGCGTTGACAAGGATGACTGAGCACACCATACATCTCTTATGTCCATTTTGCTGCTGATGTGTCCTGCTTCCTTTTCACAACCGGCCCTCCCCTTACTCAACATGATTTATAGTAACAGTACTGAGTGAAAAAAAAAGTTGTCATGTAGGGAGCACCATGCGAGACGGTTGAACTCCGATAAAAAGGTTGATTTTTTCGGAGGAGACAATTATATTAATTAATAAAGAGCCACGGGTGTGGTTTAGGACTGTCTCTAGGACTGTTGTTTAAAGACTGGTAGGTAGGGTGTCGGAATTTTTTTAGTCCTAATGTTTACGCTTTTTTTTGTAATACTTGGACCCACCAGGTATTTACTCAAAATACCTGGATACGGTGTAAAAAATCTGCACCCGGTTATGCCCTGTTTTTCTTTAATTTCAATGCAGCTAATCTAAGTCTTCAACAAAGTAAGCCGAAGACATTCCATCATATTTTCCATGGTCAATCTAACAAGAACATCAGGTCTAAAACTTTTGAATGTTACAGTACTTTCAGAATGTATGGGTATAATCTCACTTCTAATCCAAGTGTTAAGGATTGGACACCATATTTTAATGAAAAATTAAGTTAATCATTTAGATTATTGTATCAGATTGTGACATATGTCATTCCTCTGTATCATAATTCTGACATTCCTTTTTAACATAATTGTGACATGTGTCATTCCTCTGTATCATAATTGTGATATGTCTTACATGTTTTTGTTTATTAAAAAAAAGCAATACTGAAGGTAATTCAATGGAAAAAAAATTAGATGTATTAAATATCTAAAAATAGTCTTTAACAACAGTTAAACAAATCGCAGATTCCTCTCTCATACAGTTTACCAACCTATTTAGTTCTACAGCTCTGACCGCTGAGCTTGTGACTATCAATAGAATTGGACTGCCAGTCTTCTTCATGAACAGGCTTTTTTTTAATGCCGTTCTCCATGTGGTGAGGATAAATGTCAAATATTTCTCTGGTTCTAGAGACTCCACATTGTGAGGGTAGAAATCATTCTCTGAAATATATATACATAGAGAGATTTTTTTTTAAAAACTGGTTTGTTACTTGTACACCTTTAATTTATTTATAAAACACGATCATTAAAGGCACAACCAAAATTTTTGTATGTTAAACAGTATAGCGATGCTTTTATTAGAGCTCAAAGTTTAATTAAAATTCGACAATTTTTTAAATTTTTTTTTGTTTTTTTTTAAATTATTGAAGGCATTGGCAGAAACATAACAAATTTGTTTATTTTCATTCACATAAACTTACACAAATGCTTTGTGTCTTCAATTATCTACTTTAGCAGACCAATCACATTATACTCTGATAATGGAACAATTATACTTTCTGAACAGCCTCTAGCATTCATCGTTGTTTTTAAAAAAAAATTATCTTTTTAAAAATTGTTCAAAACATCAAGAAAATGATCAGTAATGAATTCTGAAATGTGCCTACCCGCATTTGGAAGCAAGTCCTCCAAAGCTTCAGCTCCTAGTCTGTCCTTTAAAACTTTAGACATCATGGCTCTAACATCCTCTGCATTTCCAGGCTTAGCCAAGGCTTCATCAGATTCATCCGTGATTTTTTTCTATGCAAGTAAATGTACAGCAATAGATATTTCAGCCAATTGGTGTTGCTGGAGTTTTGAAGCTAATAATAAATTAAGAAGACATGACAAATATTTTCAATTTAAACGACGAGACATAAGACTTGTATATGATGAGATTTTAATTTATAGCTCACAGCTGCACAAGTCTTTACAGAAAGGGTGTTCAATTTAAATGACTCAGCTTACCCTCTCCCTTTTCTTCTCCTTTCCAGAGCTACCCTTCTTTTTCTTATGCTTTACTACCTCACTCGTAACATGTGAGGTATCTACTTTTCTTTTTCCTCCTGGTTTAGCTGCTTGAGATTTTTGCTTTTTCTGTGGATTACCATTTTGTTCTGTTGTCTCTGTAAAAAATATTTCTATGACGTTAACCAGTTAGCCCATGTCAGCCAAAAATCTGAACACTGTGATATTAAAATGAACAAAGAATTTTAGTCTTATAGTAAAGGATATGAACATTTCTTATTGAAACAGTAACACCATGACTCGTAAACATTTAAGAAAAGTGACAGGTTTTCTTTTAATCTAGCTTTAACAACTTTTGCATTTAATAATTTTTTTTAACCAATATATTATATTCTATGACGTTAACCGGTTAGCCCATGTCAGCCAAAAATCTGAACACTGTGATATTAAAATAAACAAAGAATTCTAGTCTTATAATAAAGGATATGAAAATTTCTTATTGAAACAGTAATACCTTGACTTGTAAACATTTAAGAAAAGTGAAAGGTTTTCTTCTAATCTAGCTTTAACAACTTTTGCATATAATTTTTTTATTTTTATTATATAAATAAGCCCATGTGGATGCATTATGCTCAGATTCTTAAAAATAATGAGAGCGATTTTGAATTATTTAATGGAAATCTAAACAATTTAAATATCCTCAGAGTCTTAAAAATAATTATTTTGTATTAAAATTAAATATTAAAAAATAATGATTTTGTATTATTTTACGAAAATCAACTCCATTGAAATATGATAAAGTATATTGGTTCTTATGCATGTATGAGTAATTACTTAACAAATTTAAATTAATAATTATTTTCTTTATACTTAAGTGATATGAAAAAAGGTTGGGTGGGCCTATATTATTTAGAGGATTTATTTAACATGACATAAAAAATAAATAAAAGAAGTAGCAAAAAATGCATTAAAAAGAAAACAGCTGGAACTGAAATTTTCTGCAACTAACCACAGTCCACAGTCACAACAATAGCCCAGAATAATAGTCAAAATTTTTGTATACGATTTCCTAAAATTTCAATACCAGAATCTAGGGTTTTTGTTTCTTGTTCCAACCACCATTCATCTCCCAAGTCGTCCGCCATTTTGAAACAATCAGTTAGACGCATTCACGTATTAAGTAATATTGAAATTTGAATTGATGAATAGATAACATATTATTTCATTAAGAAATTTTAATAAATTATTGAAATAAATTCTAAAAAAGAATTGAATTATTTTATATTCTCTGAAAAAAGTAATAGATTCGCAACTAAACATCTTGTATAAGTTAGCTCTGAGTAAATCAACGTAATGGCCGCATTTTCAATTCAGTGTTTACAAACACTATCCTATTAGGTTGTTTTTTTGTAAATAAACTTATTTGTAATAAAATTTATTGGGTATTGTGATATTAGTAAGTATGTTTATGTAATCTCTTATTGTAGCGCCATTAAGGAGTTTACATTATCAAGTGGTTTTTTTTTTAAAATTAAAAACACTAACACCCTTTAAAATAAAACAATTTCAATTACTATTGTTAGTGATTGTTTATGAGGTAATCTACCACTTCAGCGTCGGCCAAGAAAAAATCCAGTTGTTCCGTTTGGAAGGGCTATTTAAACAACTATTCTCACTTTGGAGTCTGTTCATATTTTTGCTTCTGTATAGAGGCTATAAAGTAGGTACTTGGATAAAATTTTCAAATTGAATAAATTAAAAAATGAACACACCTGTAAGATAGCTCTTGTTAAATGAAGTAATAATATGTTTTCATCTAGCACTTTTCGTTAAATTGTTATGATATTTTTCATGAATAAAAACTCACTTTTTTAACATAGACATTTGTGACCTCTTTTCAAAAAATTTTCACGAAAAGGCTGATAACTTTATAGCAGCACGAAAAGGCTGATAACTTTATAGCAGAGTGAACAAATATTATGAAACTTTCCAGAAGTGTTCATCATCGTATTAGCAACATCTTTGTTGATTTAAAAACTAAAAAATTAAATATAATATTTTAAAAATATTTTTAATGTCATTATAAAAACTGCCACAAAAAAAAAATTAAAAAATTATTTTAAAAAAATTAAGACCAAACGTAATTTATTTTTAAAAAGGAAATATAATAGAGGCAATTTTACAATAAAAATTATGATTTAACTTGAAATGGAGCAGTATCTGATAAAATATTACTTAATATGTCGATTATTGTATATATTATATATATTATAATAAAACCTAATATTAATTAAGATGGAACTTGATTGCTTAAGGCATAAAAAATGTCTTGGGCTTTCTTATCTGTCAACTATAATTAAATAATACTGTTTCCGGTTTGTCACTTTCGTTTTCTGCCATTTTTTTTTTTTTTGAATTTTTTGACCCGTTCTGGGGTCTGGCCAAAAATAACATTTTTATGGCCATCTTAGAGACTTGAAATTTTACATGGTGATATTTTATACAATTTCACAGGTACACCAGGTCGATTTAAAATGGGACAACGAATAGTTTTCAAAATATTGATAAATTAGACTTAGCTGCTTTCTCACATTTTTTTTTATTTACGACATACTGATATTACTAAAAACAAAATGGATGTCGTTAAAGCCCGTTCATTAACGTAACTAGAACAGTAATTTGTTCGTTGATCCGACGTTTCTAGCGCGAAAAAATAATTTTTTAGTGAACCCTTGTCATCCAGCACACCCAAAAAAGCGTCTCAAAACCCTATGGGCCGCGATTGCGTCAAAATAGCCTCATATCCAAGTACCTACTATAAAGTTATATAATAATAATATAATAATAGCACAATACTAATACTATAATACATTTAAATAATTATTACTGCCAAGCTACCGATATGCCAGGAAGAAAAAGAGACTTCAATTATTTTTTTTTATAACCCAGATAACGCGGATGTCCACACACAGAATGTGGAAAACGTGAATGCTTAGAAAGCGTAAACTTAAAAGACAGTTTGGCACAAGATGCGCCGGTGATCTTTCCCCTTCATATTTACGTGGATTCATGTACCACAACCGTTTTCGTGGAAATTATATATTTTTAAACTTCATTGTCAACTTGGGGGAGAACTATGCATAATTCCATGTTCACACATTATCTTCTATTTCAAAAAAATTCTTATAGTTTTTCTAATTTAAAAAAATTGTCTATTATTATGGGAATGAATACGTACAACCAATGTCATTAAAAATATAGGAATAGTTGTTTAAATAGCCCTTCAAACAGGAACAGCTGGATTTTTCTTGGCCGACGCTCAAGTGGTAGATTACCGTTTATTATTCTAACAATTGACTCAATTGAATTTATTGATTATTGAAACATTGTTTGGTAGATTTTGGATTAACTGTATGGGTTTTGTCAAGAGTTGTCTCACCTTTAGCACAGTGACGTCACTTAGGGGAATCCCAACACTGGAGTGAATAGACCAATCTTGCAAGACCTGAATGATGCTTGTGATAACTTCCTGTTCTTTAATGAACATTCCTCAAGTCATAAGCCAAATCTGATGACCAAATTGGTTAATATGAAGAATTAAAATTCAACTTACAAGTTTCAAAAGAAATGAGAAAGAAACCCATTCACATCCTTGCTGATACCCCAAGATCCAACACCGGTGGGAAAAAAGATGCATGTTTAAGTTCTGTCTTTTGATTAGTTGACATTCCAATTACCTGTATCATGGCGTATGCAGACTACTACTTAAATAGTATTGGAAATGGGTGTCTCAGACCTATTTACTCTTATGATTTTGGCGTAAAATGTACGATTTTGAGGCATATACACTATATATATATATATATATATATATATATATATATTGTATTTTTTTTTTTACAATTTCTATGTGTGTCTGAGACCTATTTACTATTATGATTTTGGCGTAAAATGTACGATTTTGAGGTATATACAATATATATATATATATATATATATATATATATATTGTATTTTTTTTTTACAATTGCTATTAAGATAATGTATTGAACGATTTTGTGATGATACTGTACGATTTTTAGAGTTTGAGGGTAAACAGGTCTGGTGTCAGTGCAAAAGCTTAGGAAATGAAATCTTATTTCAGAAATGTAAAATAAGAAAAAATACTTGCAAAATGAACATATATATCAAAATATTTTGAATACCGGGTACCGCACTGTAGATGGAAGTTGACTTGGGGGAACCTCCATGACCTATATATTGTTGAACACATCACCAGCCTTACCGCAAACCCAAAATCAACCCATTGTAATTGTAACAATTTGATTTTCATAAAGTATGTACATTTATTAACTTAACTTTTACCCCTCGAGACAGAGCATTTTTCGGACTATTGTTGCCAAAAAGACAGAGTCTTTTTTATATATTTTAAAACGGCAATATAAAAAAAATCTATGGTCTAGCACAATTAGTGGAGTTCTCTTGTGTGACATTGGCTGATCTCAGATTAAAAATCACTTTATCGCATATTTTAGGTCAAACATAAAAAAAAATTAAAAATAAACAATCCGGGCTCCAGCCCCTGGTGCAGTGGGAAGCGTGTCCAACGTTCCGCCATGCTTAAAGGTTTGGTAGCCACTGTTGTCAAAAAAATTTAATACCGGGTACTCTATTTTGCCCTTAGTTTTTCTATTTACCAAAGCAGGCTGTGCATAATAATAATATGAAACATTTAGCAATTATCATGACGGTTTTAAAGTTAGGATATTTTGATACCTGTAGCCTTATTTTTATTTCTTTTTCAGGAACTTTATTGTTTTCTATGAAATGAGCAGCTTTCAAAATTCTTTAAACGCAAGTAACGGTCTGCCCGGGGCCACCAGTCCTAATCCTCCTCACAACAGCAACAACACAGCAACAATCATGAACAATGGTCCAATGACGATGAGCTCGCCCATCATTATGGCAAACACAAGCAGTCCCATCATGGTGCGAGCCCAGCAGCCCACTATGTCTCAGCCGGAGCAAATTATTGTGCCAGTAGGAAATGTAAGTAAAATTTTCCTAATGTGTCTGTTAGAAATTTTATCATTTATACAATATTTCCAAATAGCATTGTCCAGAGTGTTTGAAACATTGGGTGTGGATCTAGACTAGATATTTCTAACAAGATGTTGGATTTTCTTGTTAAAAATTTGGCTGCTGCTTTGTTGATAAGAAAAATGTATCTGGTTTAATCTAATTGACTCTAAAATTAAATTTTAATTTCATCCATCCCTGTGGTGCTAATCCCCATTTAAGGGCTTTGGCCTGCCTCACCACATCCTTCCACTGAGACCTGATACTTTCCTTTTCCATGCTTGGATTCCCTGCTGCTGTAGACCCCTCTCCAGATCATTCACCCGTCTAAGCCTAGGTCTGCCTTTAATTTGTTTTCCTCTGGGGTTTCCTCTTCTCTCCTCTGTCATTTGGTTCTTTTTAAGTGATCTTAATAGGAAACCTTAATATACAGGTGATGAATGCAAGCAAAATCTCAGATTCCATCTCCAGACAGTCTTCAGCTAGCGCACAGGCAGCTTCTACACCAAACGCCAATCAAGGGGCATCAGGCTCTGATACAAGAGGGGTCCTGGACAAGTCACGTCTTAGGGACTTGGTAAAGGAGGTGGACCCACTGGAGCAAATGGACGATGAAGTTGAAGATGTATGTTTCCTGTTGATTTTTCATTTTTTCATTTATTGCTTGAAATGTTGCTCCATTAAAAAAAAAATATCTTAAAAATTGGGCTATTTAAGTTTGCAATTCGTGATTTAAAGACTCAAAGACTTGCCATCCTATCTGTCAAGGGTATGAGAATCACTGTTGTCATGTTTGGTAGGGAAACAATGTTTAGTTAGAGATTTCATGTGTAGCTGTATCGGTGGTTTGAGAGTGTTGTGACGTATTTGGGTAAAGGGAAATGACGCGTTAGTTTTAGTTGTTGTTATGGTGGATAGATGGCAGATATACTAGATTGACGGTTTGGACTTGTGTGTTGCTGAGTGTTAGGTTGAAACGATTTGATGATTAGTCTGTAATTATGTAACAACCATAGTTAGGGAATTGTAAAAATAAATTCATATCTTGCAACAAAACTATAAGTGTTGGTTGTATTACTAGCTGTTGCTATTAGATATACTGTCTTGTGGGATGGAGTGAAAGACTTGGCCCAGCCAAGTAGACACTCATCGCCATGATGAACACGAAACAACAGGTTCAACAGCTCGTCACTATCTTGATCTTAAACAGTTATGATAATGAACAACCTAATTCCTTTATCATTGAATTTTTTATTTTGATTTTTGTGCACTGCTGTTTAGTTCCTGTAATATTTTTCCAGGTACTACTGCAAGTTGCTGATGATTTCATTGAAAACGTTGTGGCCGCATCTTGCCAGCTGGCAAAGCATCGGCGTTCCAATACACTAGAAGCAAAAGATGTCCAGTTATATTTAGGTATGGTACCAAAAAAATCAAAAGTTTTAAGTTTGGTTATGGAAGTGGATGTTATGTACTACAACTACAAGTAACTAATGGTTTCTACATGAATATTTTTACCCATACTTTTTTTTAAAAAATAAGTTTTAAAAATTTTCAGAGCGTAGTTGGAATATGCAAGTTCCTGGATTTGGCTCAGAAGAAATACGGCCGTATAAAAAATCCATCACGACAGAAGCACATAAACAAGTGAGTATCCTATTTTCGGCTTCATTTATTGTGTCTTTGTTCATAGAATATGTACATTTATGAACTGTAAATTGCTTTCGAACATTATTATATTTGACACATACCTATGTTTGAAGCCACTTTGGCTAGTTGCTCTTGACACTCTACTGGTACCGGTACTTATTAAATTTATTATTACAGTGGGTTGTTAAGGTGTATGCAGCCATCTTAATATCATGTGCACACCAGTGGTAAAGGTGGGAAGGGCGTGATTGGTCAGTAAGAGTAAACTTCTCGACGGGGAAATGAGTAGATGTACTTAAAAAAAACAAAGCACTAATAGAGTCTGTTTTAGTTTGAGAAATATGACCATAAATAATCCATTCTAATATGCTATCTATTTCAGAGGATGGCCCTGATCAGAAAGACATTAAAGAAATACTAGTATTAGATCTGAATTTTTGTTCTCCTATTTTGTGTAAAGAACTAATTGTGTTTCGCCAACTTATTAAAATGCATAAGTTTATTTTATTCGGTAGAGGTTTTCTAAATCTAAAAAAAAAAAAAAAAAAAAAAAAAAAAAAAAAAAAAAACAAAAAAAAAAAAAAAAAACCATATAAATATATAATATATATATATATACGGTAATGAAAAATGGGTAACCTTAAAAATTTTAATGGCAGGAAATATTATCTAGGTTTAATCCACATTGTTGAAAAGCATTAGCACTGTTATACTGCTTTTTTAAAATGGAACAAGTATTAGCATTATTCATACATGCAATGGAAATTATAAAATGAAAACTGTAGTAGCCCGAAGCCATTAGATTTTCTGTGCAGTAAACCCGCTAAAAAGATCTATAACTTATTCCAAAGTTGGACATCTTACAACAAATAAGGCTAAAGGTTGATTTTTTATTTGAAGCGGTTTAGCATTGTTCTTGTCAGCACCGCATGAACTAGACCACTGGTGGATATTTAATCATTTTTTTGTTGTGCTCATAATGCAGAAAGCGTGTAAAGCTTCATTTATCATATTCATGGCAATGTGTTTGCAATGATGAAATAGCCATAGCTGTTGGTGTTTGCAATGATGAAATAGTCATAGATGTGGGTGTTTGCAATGATGAAATAGCCATAGCTGTGGGTGTTTGTGATACTTTCTGTGTGAAAGTTTTAGCAATCTGTAAGAGTGTAATAATTGTTGTTGATGGTATAGTGGATTATTAACTTGAATGCTCCTATTGTTAACTTAAATAAAATGCAAAACATGTTGATGTTACAGAACAGAGTTTTCGTTCGTATTTATTCTTAGAATATGATGGGCATATGCTTGCATTCTAAATGAATTCTTAACGGAATCATTCTTTTTTTAATTGTCCTGCCTTTCTATGTCAAGCTTTCACCTTCACATACCTTGTTCTTCTATTTACTTTGCATTCTAAATTTAATGGTAGAAATGGATAATATGAGTTCAATATGGACAATAATTTAATTGTAGAAATGGATGAAAATAAATATGGACAATAAATGTAATTGATGTAACACCTTATCTATTAACAATATTACAGTAAGCAGTTTTGGATCATGCTGTGTTCATCTGTCAAAAATGCAAGAATCTTACGACTCATAAATGAAAGTGGCCATGAGAAACCTGCTCTTTGGGCTTAACACATACATTTACTTAATGCAGTCTAGGAGAGAAAAAAATAAGCAACAAATTATTGCAGTTATTTTAAAAAATGTAATGTGCTGAAAAATTTACAAATATAAAATATACATTAAATTAAATGTTACACCTAAAATTATGGTGGCATAAACTTGTATAGAAAATAAAATTATATAAAAAAACAATCACTTAATTAACCATTCATTAAGTCACTGCAATAATCATAAAAATTAAAAGGCTAGAAAGCCTATGTTAAGCCAACTAGTTAACTAGCATTACGTCTTGTTAAAACTACGGGACAACTGTGAACTGGCTGCTGCGTACCAACAAGATGCAACGGACACTGAAATTAGAATTGAATGAGAGAAACATGTACGCACATAATATAAAAATTACTACATATGGTACTAGAAAACATGTACATGCATAGAAACGTAACTTACTAGAAAGAAAAAAATACTAGTATAAATTATTAGCATTTTTTGGTAGGAAATAGATAACATTTCTCAAAATCCTGATAAAAACAATGGAAAGATTTGTAGGCGTCTATAGTCATTTATTCTTCTTTATTTATTCACATAAAAGATCAAATTTGCTTGGCCCACAAAGTTGGTCATCTAACCAAAGATGAAATTAAGATGTTTTGAAGATATCCCCCCTTCCTCCACCTTCTTTGGACTTCTTTAGTGTATCTGGTGTAGCATTAAAAACCTACCACATCAGGCACACCCTGAAGAAGCTCACAGTTGAACATGTTGACAAATAAGCTGACATACATTTGCATCTCCATTAAGGCAAACCATCTGCAAACATATTAAAAGATTTGCATCACCACATTCAAGCTTGGAAATATCACAGGATTGAATGGAAATGGAACGAAGGTTCAAGGCAAATTTTATATTTAAAAAAGACGATGCCCACAAAAAGACTTATTGTGAGTATTCTATGCAGACAATTGTCCATGACAATGACAAATCATATTTCATGAAATTACCAGAAACTAGGTTATATTTAAACATAAGCAACAGTTACATCTACAAAAATCTTTTTTAAAAGTTAACTTTTGAAATAATTAATACCTTCCAGGGCACTGGTATCTTCCACCACCGAAAGCAATAAACTCATCTGGAAATGAGTTCTTATCCAAGCTGTCCCACCTTTCCTTTGAAACAATTGACACTCTGATAAGTCTTCTTTATTTCAAATAAACAGATTACTTTTAAATTTACTTTTCTATGTAAATATTTTTATAATAATATACCGTTTTGCACCAGTCTGATGCGATCAAAGCCATTTCTTCTTATAAAGAGTTTTGCAATTTCTTATTAAGAGTTTTGCTATTTCTTATTTATAAAGGGTTTGCCATATTTTATAAAGAGTTTTCTTTTAATTTATTTATATTACAGTTAAACAATATTTTCATTGAATTTATGTTGATCATACATGTGGTTCTGGACCTTTCTCGAGGTCACCTCTTTCATTACTGATTCCATCGATTAAAAAGATCATAAATGACACATAAAATTATTTTTTGATGACAATGACACATTATTAACCTGTCTTATTTATGTAGAAACATCCATTGACAATCAACAAACCTGTCACTTCAGACTTACTGGCTCAAACTTGTCTGGCTCTGGGAAGTGCTTGGGATTTCTGTGGGCCCAGAAGGGTGACACCATTAAAAGATCCCCTGCGGGCACATTGAAGCCTTTAACGGTGAACTCTTGCACAACACGTCTTGTTATTATCCCTGGTGAGCGTAATCTTATGGCTTCCAATATACATTGTCTGGTGTAAGGCATCTGCCCCAGTGTCACATCTGAAACTAAACGAAAAAAAAGATTTAAAAAAAAAACAACTTTGAGAATGGTTCAGTATTTATGAATCTTTTAAAATTAATGCTAAAGTTAACTTTTTGTTCATATATGGCGTCCTTCCGTCTTCATGAGACGGTGGAGTAGCTTATTGACACTTCATCAAGTTGCTTGTGAGGGGCGATCCCCGAATGGGAGTCCCTGCTGCTATTCTCACACATATTTTTTTTTTTTATAAATAAGCTTATCAAAATAACTTACTGAATATTTTGTTAGTGCCTGCCCCTATTTCTAAAAGTACATGCTGAATAGTTATAGCTATTTTTAATAAACATGCATTGTACTTCAGCAGCCCTTTACTACTGGTTTACACTAAAATACACTCATGTCTAGCCCATGGCTTGAAAATTTTTGTAATTTGGGAATGTACGAGAGTTACGATCGTTTGAAAACACCACATAAATTACTTGACACTTTAAATAAGAAATGATCTGAGAACCTTACTGTTCTTCAAATCTTTCATCACAGGCTCCACCTCCGTCCGTAATTTGGCTAATACTTCGGGGTGACTGTATATTAGACATAATGTCCAAAACGTAATCTATAAAAATATTATAAAATAGAAAAATAAAAATATTATAAAATAGAAAAATAAAAATATTATAAAACTGAAAAATAAAAATACTATAAATCAGAAAAATAAAAATATTATATAATAGAAGAATAAAAATATTATTTTAAAAATAAAAATAGAACAATAAAAATATTTTAAAATAGAAAATAAAAAGTATTAGAAAATAGAAAAATAAAATAAAAATAATATAGAATAGAAAATAAAAAGATGTTTTCAAGGTTTAAATATTTTATTAAACACAAGTAAAATATCATTCCCAACTTCAATCAAAACTTTGTTTCTAACTTTATCCTCATAATGCTTTTTCATTCATTTGATTTCATATTGGCATTATTGTTATCTCAGAGGCAGGTAATCTCCTGATCCATTTTAATGACATGTAAACGATCCGCCACTTGCAGTCAGCTCCCAAAATATTTTCTTAGCAGATATAATTTATTAAAATGGCTCCTTACGAAGAAAAAAACTCATTGCTCACCCTTGTGCTAGCATAATGAACAATAAAACTCTTACTGGTATGGCATTGGCTAGTGAAGCCCAGAGCAGAAGTAAGGCCCAGTTAGGGGCGTACTCAGCATCTACAACAGAGAGCAAGGATTGGAGAAGATTCTGTAAGAATATATAGTCCATATAAAGCTTAACTTATTAACATTGCGTATGGCATGATTATAAATAAGATTGAGACTAAAAGACAAGGAAGATTTCAAACTGTCACCATCATAAAATTTATATGGAAACTTTTTTTTCCTTTAAAATTCATGCACCTTCATGCCCCGAAACCCACCAATTTACTCACCTGCTTGGCTGCATCTTCAGGTATGTTTTTCAAACATTTAGCGGTAATGCTTCTGAACAAATCAAGCAACCACTTTTTTGATGTCGACCATTCCCTGTTGACAAGTAAGTAATTTATCAGTTTTATGTCAGCCGGTCAAGGGTAAGGGTTAACGTAGGAGGGACTGCTTCTAAGACGTGTGGAGGAACCAGATATGTTGGGGCTTGAAATGATAAGACAGGACCATCAAAAGGACAGGACCATCAAAAGGACAGGACCATCAAAAGGACAGGACCATCAAAAGAACATTTTGTCTTGTTTGCTGAATCTTGTCTGCTGAAGAAGGCGTCAAGCCAAAACTTTCTTAAGCTTAGGTAATGATTAAACTGTTGAAAACAAAATAATTCTATGACAGATCATAACCCAAAGTCAAGACAGCTGTGAGAAATAAATGGGCACAGGCAACCTCAGAATTAGGCAAGGATAGACCTAGGGCATAGCCCCGTCTAAGTAACGTCTGTGGTGAAAGGCGGAAATTTAACCCAAAACCAATGGACTACACACGATAAAAAAAATTAGGGGAAGATCAAAAGAAAGCAGAAATCTTTAACAACCACTTTGCCACAATCAAAAAGGCAAACAAAAAGACAGTGACTGATGGATGGCGTAAGTCAAATAAGAGAAGTCCTTATGGAACCATTGCCCTTTACAAAGAAATCTTCACGCAGACTGAGCTGTGAAGAAACTGAAATCTCAAAAGCACCAGGCCCAATCAACTCCGTAACGAGATGCTGGTGAAATTGAGCCCCGCATGGACATTACCCATAATCCATCTTATTAAAACAGAACTTGGCGCAGAAGCGAAAGCCGTAAAATCTGGGAAAAATGCCATCGTAACACCAATATTAAAAAAAAAGGAAAGGCTGCAGATGATGCTAAAAGTTACAGACCAATATCCCTGACCTTCTGCATTGGAAAAACTTGCAGATAGAATGATCAACGATCGCCTCTGTTATTGGCTAGAAACAACTGGCACACCTCAACAAACACCGAGCTGGCGTCAGAGCTGGACAGCGAGATAAACTCTTCCGCCCAGGCCAAACTATCTTAAATGGCTTCCAAGAAAAAAATATATAAAAAAACACCCCTTCAGTCTTTGACGACTTCCAGCAAAACAGCAGGCTATGGTGTATGACTAGAATACCCAGTCAACAAAACAGCAGGCTATGGTGTATGACTAGAATACCCAGTCAACAAAACAGCAGGCTATGGTGTATGACTAGAATACCCAGTCAACAAAACAGCAGGCTATGGTGTATGACTAGAATACCCAGTCAACAAAACAGCAGGCTATGGTGTATGACTAGAATACCCAGTCAACAAAACAGCAGGCTATGGTGTATG